GGTCTTGGAAAGCCTCAGTCTAAAGTTCAGGTCCTCTGGCTCTGTACAGTGTGCTCAGTGCCTTTGGAAGTTGGATCATGTTATTAAGAGTCTCAGTCCAGACTGACTGCACCTTTAGTCTGAAGCTCTTGGGTTTGGGGTGCTGAGGGAGGTTGAGAACACCTGTCCCTCATTGATGGCTCAGTAGGAAGATCAAGGGCCAAATCTAAGCTGAATTACACAGTTGTGTCTCTTAACCCTGAACAACTGACCCTCTTAAGTTTGCCATGAAAGAAATTGGCTGGTGTACAGCAAGAATATTCTTCCCATTGTGCTGTGTTGCAACACTAGATTAATTCTGGCATATTCTGTGGGCTAAGGCAGAAAACAGTGTTTGAGGTTTTGGGTGAATGACAAGAAATAAAAGTTTCATTAGGATGCTAAATTTAAGCAACTTGCATCATAGAAATCTCCAGCTAAGGTTAATTTGCATAGGTGTCATTTTTAGGAGACAACTTGAGCAAACTTTGCAGAACAGTAGAGAAATAAAGCAGGGGGTTCATAGTAACTTATTGGATTAGCTGTCAGGGTCACAGGCTGGTCAGTACAAAGAGAAGCTCTGAATCACTCTCTGGGAGAAATTCTATTCCTCTGTGGAATAATGTAAAGAGTGCAGTGTGTCTGTGGAATTGGTTATGTAAAAGTGGGACCGTGTAAAGTATCTTCCACACAGCCCTGTCTTTTCTGGATAGCCCCCAGCAAAGAACCATTCCCAGCCCTTGTTATGAAGTAGGTGATTGGTACTGGAAGATGATGAAATCTTAAACAATCCTCAGGATTCATTTTCTGTTCTGAAATTTGGTTACTGACAGGCAGAATCTGGGACAAGTCCTCCACTTGGCCTATACGTGTCATTGTTACTTGAGCCAGTTGAAGTGGTGCTTTTAAAAGATGGAGAGGAATCAAAAGGCCTTGAGTAATATATGAGGTTATGCATTTTTCCTTTTTTTTTCCTCTTAATTAGACATACTCAAGCAAAAGTTAATTTTGGAGAGAACATAATATATTCTGACAATACTCTCTACTTGTTTTTATGAAGTCAAAAGCATTAAAAAAAGAAAAAAGTAAAGCTTTAAAAGATAACAAATGCCAAAGACACCACATGTATGCAGCTGTTCTAGTACAGGCATCTGTCAAGCAGACATCACCCAATAAACCCACATAAACAGTTTCATTCTCTTTTATAGTTGAGGAATGGGATTACATGAGGGCAGTTCAAATAAATCACGAGGGGAAATAAAATAGCATACTTGTAGCATTCATTGGGCCAGATGCTCAGCTACAGCCAACTTATGGAAAGCACGACTTGGGTTCTGTTCAGAGGTAGCCTGGAGTTCAGTCTGGTAGGGCCAGCAGGAGAAAAGGGAAAGGAGAGTTAGGGATTGAACATGAACTCATCCTCTGAGAAGGGATTTCATTCTGAGGCTCTGACTTTGATCTGAATTGACACTGGTTTGGCTAAAGTCCCAAGCTGCCTTTTCACAAGAATTTAACTCAGACCTATAGATCAATGCATCAGGCTTCTGTTTCTTGCAGCCCACACATGGCCATCAGGCCAGCACCTTTCTGCTGATTTTGCTGCTCTCTCTTGTTTCTTTTGGGAGAGGTGTCCTGAGCAATGGATTGTTATCAGCTTGCCTGGCACTGTGCCTTCCTTTCACCAGGCCACTCTTTCATGTGCCCTGGTGTGACCACACTTGGAAGTTGTGTGACTTCAGAGGCCCCTGAGAACAGTTCAGAAACAGTGTATGTCCCTGGTTTGGTGCTGCCCTGCATGACAGCTCAGGAGTAAAGTTCCTGGAAGATCTCTTCACTGTATGCCAGGATGTAGCACTCATAACCTGCAAGTGCCCAGGTGTGGAAGCTGCTCTGTGTCAAAACTGCTCTCAGTTGATTATCCCTGACCAGTTCATTTGGCTTTGGAGTAGTACAAGCTTTGCTCACAATGTTTTTCCCTTTTTTTTTTTTTCCCTTCTTCAGTAGAAGTAAAAATCAGACATTTTCAAAAAAGAAAAAACAGTGTAAGCTATTTCATGCCATCATTTTTGAAATATCACAAACATTATCTTCAAGACAGCACATATAACATCACATTACAGGCAGGACTGACTTAGAATTGCTCTCTGAGAATGTTTTTTGATTAGGCAATGTGCAGCAAGTGGGCCATGACACAGGCAGTTGTCCTTGACATTTGGTGTGTTGCAGCACAAAATAAGGAGATTACAACAGCATTTTACTACCAGTGTGGTGCTTCAGTGAGCAAGTGCTGAGAAATGTTCACCTGTTATTGCCAGAGGTGGATTTAGCCCAGCTTCCTTGAACTGCTCAGGAAATGCTGAGAAACTCATCCATCTGTGTAATCTGTAAATTATTTGTAGTATTAATAGTACACACTTTATAACGGGGAGTATTAACTACCAGGTATCTGTAAGTGCACGCCAAGGAACCAGGTGATGTTCAACAGGCTCTTTTGGGTGCTACTCCTAAGAGAGTGGTCATGTCCCATCACCTTCAGACTGACGTGGAGTGTACATCACTGAGGCTGGGGGAGGGCTCAGAATTTGGCAGGGTAAAACCCAGGTCTGGGTGAGTAGCAGTACTTCAGGAGTAATGCAGGAACAAAGTTCAGGCCACATTTCAAGCCGTTACCAAGTGTAATTCCAGGAGTTTGCCAGGATCTATAAAATTCAGATCATAAAGTTCAGGTCATAGCTTTGTTCATACCATTCTACTTGTGCTTGACTCGTTTTGAGAATAGATGAGTCTTTCAGACAAGGATTCCTAGACAAAAATGTGAAGAAGTTTGTAAGAAAGGTTGTCAGATTAGGTCCTGTAAAATCCTGTGCTTAGCTACCTTTAGTAGTGGTAAGACCATATTGCACTTGGGTATTTTCATGTTTCATATTCTATATCAAGTTCTCTGTCCCTTTTTACTTTTCTTTAACAGTTGCTTTGCTTTCAGGACAGGTTTAATTTTGCATCTCCAATACATTGCTTTCCAGAAAACAGCAGCCACTTGGTTTACTTACGTGTTAAATGAGAATTGACACATCAGGTATTGGGAGGTTCAGCCCAACAGTGTGTGTAGATTCTGTATTCATATTTTAGAAATGCTCTTCTTCTGTTTGAGCATTTTAAGTCTTGCCTAAATCAACAGCTTCTAATTCACACTGTAAACGCTGGCTTTGCAGCTGTATTTGCTGTGAGGTGTTGGAGAAAAGCTGGAGCCTTCTCCCGGAGGTTAAACCATCAAAAGTTGGTTCAGCAAGTCTTGATTTTCTTTTTTTTTTTTTTTCCTCTCTCTCCTTCTAGAAATGGCTTCCCAAAGCAAACAGCTGCTCAGCTGATCCTGAAAGCCATCTCCAGCTATTTTGTGTCTACAATGTCCTCTTCAATCAAGACGGTGTACTTCGTGCTCTTCGACAGCGAGAGTATAGGGATATACGTGCAGGAAATGGCCAAACTAGATGCCAACTAAGCCTAGAAAGCTACAGTACCAGCCCCCTCTTCCACCCATCAGCATCCCCAAATCCTTAAATCATTGTGAGGCAGAGCATCCCTTATTTTAAATTTTGCTCATCTAGGGAAATAAAGGTGGGGGCTTTGTTGTTTTGTTTTGGATTTTTTTGTTTGTTTTGTTTTTCCTCTCTAAACTGTTTTATGTTGGCACTGATAGTTGGCATTACTGCTGTTAATGCACTGTTATACCAGGCATTGTCTGAAGTTAGTGTAATCTAGAAGATTTTATAGTTTTATTTTAATGAAGTATGAATTGAAGCAGGAAGCTGTTAGGAGTATGTAGTCTTTTACTTGTGAAAGAAACAGGCCAACCCTATTTTGTAACTGTGTTGTGGTGCTTTATCAATACATCAAGTGGCGTTCCTTTCATTTTTTAAAAGAACAGATGCTATAAACCTAATTTGTGTTTGTTTATTGTCTTAATGATTCTGGAAGAAAAAAAATACAGAAACCCTGTTGTCCTTAATTATATTTACAATTTTGAAACTGTGTGAATTGATTTAGTAAAATGTTTGAACTGTTGCTCTTGGTGTACTCGGATTGATTTTTCCTTTAAGCCTTCATTTTTAAAGTTCTGAGAAGTTAGCTGTGAGAGGGATGAGAGCAGATCAGAATCAGTGACCTGGAAGCTTGTTTGGATATGCTGGGCATCTTCCCTGTGCTGGCTGCATGTGAGTGTGCTCAGTGACACTCACAGCTGGGATTTTTCCAGAGTGTTCACCCTTCCCAGTTGTTGCTTCAGATCCTCCTGTTCAGAATCTGCCCTAATTGCCTATTCAGTTTGGGAGGTTGAAGTCTTTTAGATCAAGCAAGGCCTAAGATTTTTTGAACTCTTTCCAGTCATCTAATACTGGCCTGTTTGAAACTACTTTGTATTTTTTCCAAATATTTATGAGCCCTGTTTGTAGTGGTGGCCCTGTCCTTTGCACAGCTGAAATCCATACCACCATAGACTTTATGGAAGCCACTTGGGTTTGTACTTTGAGAAAAAGAAGTTACACTGTTAAAAGCTATTGCATGTGGATGCTGCTCTGAGGGAGGCAGCTCTTCCTTTGAAGTTCTTAGCTGATTGCTAGGTAGGAGGCAGACGTTTTTCATCTCTACTGAAAACTTCATTTGCTGATGAAAGAATATTTCACATCCAGTCTGGATTAGCCCAGGGCAACAAGCAGACCAAATCTGACTTTTCAGTAAGTTCAGGAATACCAAATATTGAAAATGTGTAGCTTGAATTCCTGCAAAAGTTTGGGGTGTTCTTTGTAGAAGTTGAAATACTTGGAGCCTTCAAGTGTAGAGAAGCAATGGCACCAATAACAGAAGGCAAAATTTAAAATATAAAATAAAAGTTATTCTAAATAAATACCCAAAGTTAAAGGGAACAAAGAGTAAATTATTTTTGTGCTTCAAATGCATAAAGTGTTTCATCAGAATATGAGCTCAAACTTTAAAAATTTTAATGGCCAAAATTCATTTTGCGCATTTCTTAAACAGCAGCTTAAGGACAGTAAATGAAATAAGGTACAGTACTTTGGGCATTTAATTGTGAAGCATCTACTACTGCAGTTGGATTGCTCCTTGGAGTTCAGCTGAACTTGCACTTTCCCCAAGTTTCACTAGATGTCACTAAAAGAATTGAAAAACGTCAAAAAACTCTCATGAGCAGCTAACTTGGACTGAAATGGGCCTTGATTTTTTCCAGTACAAGAGGGGATTTTTAACACAGGAGAGCGCACATCACACTGAGCATACAGATAACAGAATCCTGATCTGATAGCAGTGTAGAATTTATTAAACTGTATAAAATCTCACTAATGTGAGAGTGTTTTAAACTGAAGGTTTTAGTGTCAACTGAAGTGCTTATCCAATTTATTTTCTAGGTGGTTGAAAGTACAGTCTCCAGTGGCATTTAACAGATCTCACTTACACTGCACCAGGCTGGGAGGGCCAACTTTTGTCTTTCAACTAGAAAATCCTAAAGCAAACTGAATTGCAATTCAAATCACATGGACTTGCTTCTTCTGGCCTCACATCTCAGCTCCTTATTTAGCTGTGGGCTTCATAAGAAGCTTGGCTGACTTCATTGGGATCACCTGTGATGTGCCATTTTATTTGCTGGGATTATGGTGCTTTTGTAAGGAAAAAGCAAAACCAGAATCATTTGCAGTGTTGGAGCTGGTCTCATGAGGGGGATTGCCATGTTCTCTCTCCATACAAACACCAGAGCATCCTCTGCTTCCTCCTCCAGCAGCCCAGAGCCATCTGTGTTCACCCACAGCCCAAGGAGTGCTGCTCCAAGGTCCCAACATCCAGCAGGCTCTGTCAAGAGACCCAGAGATCCCAGAACAAGCTTGACCTCAGGCAGCCTGGGCAGATTATGGCACCTATTCAAGAACCTAAAAAGTAACATATCAGGTTACATTCATAACAAGGAAAACAAGAGGAGAAATTCCTGCTAGCCTGTGCACTGGGGCCAGGATATTACTTTGGGAATCTCTGTGGCATTTTGCTTGTTGGAGCTAAAGCAAGCTTCACTTGCCAAAAAAAAAAAAAAAAAAATCATACTTTGGGAAGACCACACATGGAAAAATGTCAGTGAGGTGCCTTTACAGCTTCTTCTCTTCTGGTAAGTTCATTCTGTCTTTTACCTGAACACAGCAGTTAAAATAAACATTCTCTAGATTTTTCAATACTTTCAAGTTAAAAAAGTAAAATGTTAAAGCATTTTGTGGCCAATAGCATTTTCAATTCACATCAGAAGTCAGGTGGCTGAGCAAGGATGACACTGAGAGACACATGGCAGAGATTTTGCCTGTCCTGGTCCCTGCTGCATCCTGGAGATCCCACTGCTCCCTATTTGCAGGCAACCAGGCAAAGAGTAGGTGGGACTGCATTGCTTCCATGTGCTTGACTCAGAGGTTACAGGTCTGACACTACATTTTATCATCAGCGTTTAAACTTGCAGCATAGTTGAGAACAAATAATTATTCTAATTGTTTAATGAGTGATGGATTTAAAAAAATAATTTTAGATTAATTACTCAGGCCCTCATAATTATAACATTGGAGAAGCAGTGTGCAGCAGGGCAAACAAAAGCACCAATGGGACAACATCAGGACATCTCCAGAAATTTTTCACCAAAAATGTTTCCATGTACAAGATTTTATCACAATTGGGAAATGCAATTCAAGGGTCCATTGGAAGCAGTATTAACATAATCATAAGGATAATATGGAAATACAAAAAGATAGGTGCTAATAGCTAGACAGGAGAGTGTGTAATCCTTTAGCACCAAGTACTAAGGAGAGTCACTGAAGTGACTGTAGTTTGTAAAAATTTGAGGAAGACTGGAACTGGAGTCATTAGGTGTGAGCAAAGCATTTTTAGAAATGCTTTTTTTCAGTAAGAAGGTGAATCAGGAACCTTCCTATTAGTATAAACTCCAAAAACCAGAGTAGAATCAGAGTCCTAGGATGGTTGGGGTCAGAGGGACCTTAGAGATCATCTCTTTCCAGCTCCCTGCCTTGGGCAGGGACACTTTGCACTAGACCAGGTTGCTGAATCCAACTTGGCCTTAAACATCTACAGAGAATTCAGAAGAAGCACTCTAAAAGGGAAAACAATAACACACAGACAAGACATCAGAACCATGCTCAGACTGAAACAACCAGAGAGGCAAAAGTTTACAGAAACATAAGGCTCCAGGTTTCCAGCATTCATTAGCACCAAGTTTTTGTGAGCTCCCTTCCCCTTGATCCCAGCTAAAATTGGGTTTCTAGCCTGAGAAACAGCACTGACAGGAGCTGCAGGTGCTGGTAGTCGGAGATGAGGTCTGTAGCCAGTGCTAACCAGTCACACACTCTGCCCTGTGCTGCTTTTACAGAGGATGGTAATACCTCAAGTTGTAACTGCAACTCGGAAGGAGCAGCATAATTGATAGGCCTGAAGAGTGCAGGTAAGTAGGAGGATTGTATTTATATCCCTGGCATGAAACCCAGAGGGAGCCAGGCTATTGCACACTGGCTAAAGCGCTTGAAAATTGCCACCGATCCCTTTTTGTGTCAAGTTCTTCAGAGATTTAGTTTGCTCCTCCATAGAATCCCACTTAATGCCTCCACAATTCATGTTTAACCATTATCACTAGCAACCTGCTCATAAATGCTTCTTCCTTGTTAGATTCCACAACCAGGAATCAAGGGGAGATGATACTGCTGTTTCCTAATACAAAGGAAGGAGCAACGATGTTTCACAGCACAGCCCATAAAATCCCAACTCTTCCCCACCTTTTCACCAGCCTGGTTAACGGAAGAAATTTGATATTTTTGTACCTTGAAATGACTAACCTTCTTAGGCTTAGGAGAATAAATTAAAGTTGAGTCAAAGTATGCCTCAGCTGCAGCAATGGGCAGATTGATTTGCTTTCCATCTGGGAGATTAAATTCCACTGCCAAAAAAATGGCACCAGCATAATTAGCTGTCAGTCAAGTTGCAAAGAGACAGACTATGTGGGATAATTGAAAGCCCTGCAGCTTCTCATTACATACTACAGTAGCCCTATTTGCAAATTTCCACCTTGAGGAGGTTCTCCCAATGTGGTCAGGATTGTACTCCTTCCTCCTGGCACATTCTTGTGAAGTGAAACAGGAGTGTTGTGCAGGGATGGATTAATTTTAAGTAACTCGCTTAACCTAAGTTGGTTATAATATATTTGTCAACAGCCCCTGACAGCTCCACTAGACTTTAATTGCAAACAAATCCAAACAGCTAGAAGGAAATGGTATATCTTCCACTCTGGGTACGCCCAGGAGACACCTTTGCAGGATAAAAATCACCTCCCTCCTTTTACCTTTCTTTTTTCGTCGTGCACTGTTCCTCCCGCAGGAATCTGCCTGTTCAACAAATTGTAATTCATAATGAACCCATCAGTATGCAATATTACAAATGTGTACCTTTCATAAAATAATGAACTCTCTTTTTTCTCCCTTGTTTCTTGAGGCTCAAGCATGCTTCTGCAATTGCCGAGTGTACAGGAAAGTTTAGAATCATAGAGGAGAATCACAGAATGGTTTGTGTTGGAAGGGACCTGGAAGATCACCTGGTTCCAACCCCTGCCATGTGCAGGCACATCTTTCACTACACCAGGCTGTTCATCCAGCCTGGCCCTGAGAAACAAGTAGCTCTGATGATCAGTCCAAGCCTTACTGAAGGGTGTCTAGTAATCTTGGTGATGAAGCAGGAGGCAAAAAGGGTTCTAAGAGTAAAATATGTTACAGCTGTCATCCTAAAACTATAGGGAATATGTATCCAGATTTTCCTCTGACTATAATGGGAGTCAGCACTGCCTGCACTCTCCTTTTAGGGTGAGATGTAATTTCTCTTCTCCAATAAACTAAGGAGAATTGGGTCCACCACACTCGCCAAGCTCCCAGTTTTAAACAGGGCACAGCTCCCAGCAGCTCCAGATGGGTGCCGGGCCATCCTTCCCTCCCCAGGGGAGGAGGCAGCCGTGCCCCGCCTCACAGCTGGGCGTTACCTGAGCACATCTACAATAATGTGAATTATAGCAACGTCCCGAGGTGGGAGGGATGGGGGAGGTTTCAGGGGCTTCATCTGCTCATCTGCTTTTGGCGGCTTCCAAGTTCTGCAACCCAGGAAAGTTTCTGGTTCCCACAGAAGAGGGAGCCAGTGTCACACCTCCCACATGGCTGTCAGCCCTCCGAGCTAATAAAGCCTGGACTAATACACTAATAACTCTTCTTAAAGCAGAGCTTTCATTATAAATGTAATTTATGTTCACCTTTAAGAGCACCACAAACCTGAGCCCTCTCACAGGCACAGATTTGCCTCTTGCCTCCCTGCAGCACTTCCTCAACACTGGGAGGAATGAGCCTTCCTCACTGGTGTGGACAGGGAGCCAAACTGGGAACAGAGCAGGTGGTTCATAAAACCAGTAAAGCCAAAGTAATGAGTTTGCTGCTGTGATGTGGGAGAAGACTGGGCTGGCACAACAGAGCAAGACAGAAACTGCAGAAAACAGTGTGAAACTATTCCTGATTATTCAGGCTCCATCAGAAATATAAACACGCCAATCTACTCCTATGTCTAGAGGGAGCAAGTCAGGATTTAGCACACAGACAGGTCTCACACTGGCTTATCCTCATGTATGCTAGGAATGGGAAAATTGCCCCTCTTGTCTGTGCACAATGCCCCTTTATGATTTATTAGACGGTCCTCTTTTTTTGCCTCAATTACTCACTTCAAAAGAGGGTGGAAATGGGACATTCCTAGCCCTAATACTAAATGCATGTAGTCAATAAAAAAGAAAAAACACTGAAAAATGTTTAAAGGGAGGGTGCTTAAGTTATTGCAGCCCTTGGGAGCATTAATGTATGTGCCAACAAGTTACTGTATGTGGCTTTAACATGCTTATTTATTCTGCTGTGCAATAAAACTCCCTCTTAAATAGTGCCAAAACCTGTTTGCCATGGCAACCCCTCATCACACATGTGTTCCAGTAGTACTTACAAGCACCTTCTTAAAGAGAAATACACAGCAGGATGAATGTCTTGTGACCTTCAGGGCATTTTACAAAGTTTTAAGCACCCAAGTAAATATTGCTTTGGACTGAAATATTTATTCCAGGTATTTTTTTTTTCTTTTTGAGCAATGTTAAGAAGTAAAGCAAAGCTTGTTCCTTGCTCACTTCTCTCCAAGTGGAGCTCTAATGACTTGGACAAAGCACAGAGCCTGGTTTTTACCTGGCAGGGCTCAGGTGTTGCCAGTTGGCTGGGGAAGCATGGTAGGGATCAGCTGATCTTCTGTAGTTTCAAGTGCACTGCAGCTGTTGCTGGTGTAATTAGTCATCCTTTGTATTGTCACAGGAAAATAGATGTGTTCCCTCCTCCCATCCACACAAATGTTTGCTCAGTGTAGCCACTGGCCTGGAATCCAAGCAGGCACATGTCCCTAATAAAGCCACTAACACTGGTGTTACACTTCCAGCCCTGCAAGTACCCAGGAAGGGGTCAATCCTGCTTTCTTTTACCACTCTTTGATTTACTGCTGTGCCTTAACACAACTGGCAAGACCAGCTCGTTTCCCACATCACTAGGTGATATATCCATGGACCCTGCAGGACAGTGCAGGGAGCAGCTCTGGGTTATCCTGCTGAGCCATCCTCCCCAGCAGGGCAGGGAGCAGCTCTGGGTTATCCTGCTGAGCCATCCTCCCCAGCAGGGCAGGGAGCAGCTCTGGGCTGTCCTGCTGAGCCATCCTACACAGCAGGGCACAGTGCAGCTCTGGGTTGTCCTGCTGAGCAGGACCCTGCCCTGCTCCCTGCCCAGCCAGCACCTCTCAGCTGGAGGCAGCACTGAACACTGGAGGTTCCTCAGCCTTCCCAGGCACAAATTCCCAGTGGCTCACTGACTGATAGTGTCCTTTTTAAAATCATCATTGGCTGTTTGCCCTGTTGTGCACAAGCAGCACCAGTGGAAGGAGAAGGCCAGGCAGGTTCTGCCCAGAGTGGGGCTGCCCCCAGGAAAGCTTCATTGCCAGGAGTTACCCTCTCTGCCCTTCCCTCCTCACCTGCTTCTCTGTGTGGGGTTCCCACTCCTTTCCTTCCCTTTTCATTTCTAAGAACATTATTTCATGTTTCCCAATCCTATCACAGGACTGTACAGGATGATGTAGCACCTTTATTCCCCAGGTGTGGAGAGGGCAGGGCTGGCTCACTGAGCATCAGAAATGGCTGGTGGGGCCTCCAGAGAAGCCTTGCACCCAACAGCTGCAAGGACCCTGCATAACAGCACGTCCTGGAAAGGCCCCACAGCCCCCAAGAAGGATTCCCAGTGCCCTCCATCCTGGAGGTGGTACTGCCCAGATGTGAGTTAATGCTTGGGGCATCCCTGAGGGCATGTTCACTTCACTGAATTCTGCCAGTAAGATTGTTAGGGGGGGAAATAAGAGATATTTCAGTCCTCTGGCATCTTATAGAACCACAGAATATTGTAAGTTTGAAAAAAAAAAGTAAGATTATCAAGTCCAACCATTAACCTAACACTGCCAAGCCCACCACTAAATATCATGAATTTTTGCACAATAAAGTTCAGTTTAAAGAAAGAAATCCATGAATATTATCAACCTCTCCTGGGCCATGCACTTTCCTCAGAGCTGACAAACCTTGCCCACTCCACTGCCCACCTAAATTCCCTGTGCCAGGCCCTGCTGCAGACTGTGGAGAGAAAGGGCTGATCCCAGCAAGGCACAGGAACATTACCAGATATGACTCTACAGACATTCCTTCTTGTAGCCATCTCCAGGGAAATGCTCCCTCCAGCACCCAGGAAAGAAACCTAGAAAGCACCAGAAAATAGTTGTTTTAAAAATAAATAGATGTATATAAAGCAAGAAAAGAAAACAGTGTATTCTTAATGCTCCATTATTAACGGTGCTCAGGAAGGGATTTTCTGCTTTACTGGAGCATGTAACAGGCTTAAATAAGAATCCCTACCAGAATATAATTTTGTAATTATGCAGATAAAATTTTGTTCTTGTAATGACAACATGAACACTCACAAGCTACATTACTTACACATTTCTGTAAATAGCAGGGATGTCTCTCAGGTTGCATTTGCATGAAGACCACAAGCGTGTCACCCTGACAAACCACAAATCATTTAAGACTCCAGGCATTTAATGGTGTTGCCCTGTTGGTTTTAGTGAGGCTTTCAGCTCCTGGCTCCTGGCAGGATTCCTGAAGCAGTTGTGCCAGGCAGAAAGCTGATTTCCCAGCCCTGTTATTAATTAACCATTTCAGCACCAACTCAGGTGCATCCTTTAATGCTCAGTGAAGCCTGTACAGAACCAACCATCCTGAGGGCTGTTTTGAAATGCCTCAGTTTTACTCTTTACCTCCCAAAACAACAATACCACCAACATGAAATAAATCATAGAATGGTTTGGATTGGAAAGGACCTTAAAGATATCCCAATTCCAGAGCCTGCCATGGGCAAGGACCCCTTCCAGCAGACCAGGCTGCTCCAATCCCTGTCCAACCTGGCCTTGAACGCTTCCAGGGATGGGGCAGCCACAGCTTCTCTGGGCAGCCTGTGCCAGGACCTCACCACCCTCTTGCTGAAGAAATACCCTCTTTTTTTCATCTTTATTTTCTCAGTGACTAACACAGAATATAAACACAGCACTTGCACGCCTGCAGCTGTGACAGGACATAACTCAAAAATTCCTAATGTACAGAAATGAAGTCTAACAGCTCTGTACAGTAAGTGATTCCTTCTGGTAAACTGTGACCCACTTCTGTGCTATCACAGAAAATATATGTTTTACTGCTCTGGCAGTGGGATCGATCCCTTCCACAGTAAGTGTTTAAACAGACACATGCTTTGCTGGAGAACTGGTTTTGGATCAACTCCATGAGAATTCAAATTTGTGCTGAAATGTCTAATTATGAACACTTCTGTCATGTCTTACAGCTACCTAAATCCCAACTGGAAAATATCTTTATTTTATACTGGTGTCATCAGTTTAGACAAACATATAAAGTTCCATTTATTGAGCTACAATTTTGCAGTGCATTTTCAAAATTCAGAAAATATGTTAATGTGTGATTCCTCCAAAAGGCAGGCACAGAAAACACACACTGATCTACTTGTGCATGTGTTTATAATTATTTTTGTACATTACTGTGTCCAAATAGCTGTTAGAAAAAATTCCAGGCTAGAGTGGATATGTTTAGTTTTACCCCAGTGTCCATAAATGCGTAAGAAATCTCTGCTGCCTAGAGACTTCTGAAAGCCTCGTTGTAGCTGGAATCAAATATCAGGAATGATACCTATTACTGCATCCCCCTTGCCTGTCCCATTTTAACTTGGAGGCATTGCAATATTTTCTGTCATTACATAGTGCTGGAGGCATGAAAATTCTCCAGGCTGATTAGCATCCTAGAATTTCTCACACAAGCACCTAATCCATTGGAAAGGACTGTTGGGTCTCAGCTGATCACTCATTTGTCTCATTGAAACACTATGAGTCCATTTTTAAGAGCTTTTTTATAGACTCGTATAAAGGAGAAAGTGAACTTTTTAACATGTTTGCACTTCACTAAGTCAATACACATAAAAAGAAGTACAACTGGGGTTCCTGCATGGATATACAGGCCAGAAGTGCTAAGCTGGCAAAGAGATACAGCTACTAGCTAGGCAAGAGATTAACTTTATTTATTTCCTTTTCTTCAATCGCTAACTTCTTCCTAGAGATGCAAGGGACATCCAGGAATGTGACAGCAGGATGAGTCAGATCCCAGACTCCCCAGACAGATGTTTTACCCAGTACATTTATATGTGATTTTTTTTCCCTTAAATCATTTTCTTGGAGTCATCTGTGTTACTCTGTGAGTTGTTTTGCTGTTGCTTTTCTGTCCTTTGAATGCCAGATCCAAAAGCAGAGCAGGATTCCCAGAGCACTGTCATTCCTGTCTCTACAGAACCTTGCAAACAGCTCAACACAATCTCTGTCCCAACAAGCTTTCCTGGGAGCACTTTGCCCAGTTACCTGACGGGAGGGTCACGGAGCAGCAGTGAGGATTAAGGTCTCTTTCTCCTGCATGAAGAACTGGTGCACTTGTCCATCCTGCTGCCTAAATATCTAGTTTATAATAGTTTATAAAGCATGGTAGGGTGTTTCACCATCCCAGTTTACTGAAAGCATCCCTGCTGTTGTCCAGGTTGTCCCCACACCGATACAAGGTCTGAGTCATACAAGAGAGAACAAAATCAACTTCTCTGCAATGGTAGTGTTGGAGGCACTTTCCCCCCTCTCTGATGCCTGTGAGATGCCAAGAGAAAGACTTAGAGGAAGCAAGACAAAGAATCTCAGCAGCTGCAAGATGCAGCAAACAAAACAGACATGTTTTTTAAATAGAAACCATCAGTACCAATACAGTTGTCTACTGTGCTTTGCCCAAGTGAATTTTTATTAAGCTCTGTAAAAGTTTCCAAATCTGAAACTTTAAAAACTTTTTTTTTCTGTTTAAAATGAAATTTAAAGTGGCAAGTTTTATTAAAAACTAATGTCAAAGCAAGAGCATAGCCAAGAGAATCACTGAGATGAATAATGTTATCAATTATCATTTAAACTCCAAGAGTCATCCAAAACCTGTCAGAAGGAAGAAAATCAGGATCTCCCACAGGTGGCTGAAGCAGCACCAGCCAGCCTTTCCCATGGATAATTGCCTCCTTCATAGCCTAAATTCCAAAACATTCACATCTCTGACAAAGTTTAAAGAAAAACGTTTGGTCCAAAATTAATTACATTGGTGAAGCATCATTGATTGCTCAGTTTGCAATAACTTGAGTGGCATTCAGGAAAGTACCAGAAGAAAGTATGAAAAAAGGAGAAAAGAAACTAAGCAAACAAATTCAGAAATTCCAGTTATATTCAGAAAAGAAGAACCCTCACATCAGCAACACAAAGTGAAAGTTGCAAGTTGTCTTGACTGGTGTTTTAGTTTAAGATTTTCCAGGCTGAGGGTGGGGTTTTTTTGTTTCTTGAAAAGTACAGACATTACTCCAAGCCCTCTGAAGGGTTGTGAAAGTCACAAAATTCCCAGCCACAGCCCAGCATTATCCTTTCCTAAAAATATTGTTCTAGGCTGTTATTTGCCCAAAAAGTTGAGAACATTTAAACCAGATTGAACCACAGGTTAGAGACAATGCTTATTAGAAACAGCCTCAAATTTATATATATATATTTGTATGCTGTGATCTTGATGTTCTATAACAATAATTCTTCTCGGAAGATAACCTTCCTGGAAGCAAGAGCAGAAATTTATGCTGCCCTCTCCTTTCTGACACTCCATTGAGAAATACCCTGGCAATTCATGGTTTATTACCATGAAATGAAAGTTTAAGGGAAGAGATCTGTCAGGGCAAGCAGACCTGTAGCTGCTGGATCAAGATAAATACATACAACAGAAGAAAAAGTGTTCATGGCTGAGTCTAAAACCTGAGGGAACCCAACTCTTTGCCCAGCTCCATGGGTTTAGTACAAGTAACTTATTGTAACAGCCATAACTGCATCAAGGGCATCACTGCTGCTTCACCTGACCCAGGGAATCAGGGAATACTTGGATAAATCTGGAGCTCCATGATGGCAGCATTTCCATTTGTAAAACAGGGATGTAAAGCAAGGGGGACCCACCAGACCCACGGCTGTGCTCTGCCCACAGCAGACAAGGTTTCCGCTCCCAGGCTGGTTTGCTCTGGGGGATTAGGGATGAGCAGGGCTGGGCCCCAGGAGCTGCATGACAGACATAGTGAGAACAGGCCTAACACAGCCCCAGTGCCCCCAGAGCATGTTCAAACACACCAACATCAGCTGTCAGATGCAAAAGGGGGCTGAGAGCACTGGCATGCAGAGTATTTTCTCCAAGTCTACACCAAGCTGCAGTCTTGAAGGGAAATCTTGATTTATGTCTCTATAGTCCATAATCAACCTCATGACCCAGGAATTAAGGGGATCTTGATATAATTGCAAGCTTCTAATATAACTAGGGAATTAGTTTTTCATTCCCACCCTCCAACAAAAAAAAGTTTTTTACTCTTCTGCTTCTACATGATCCCATACCCTTCCCAACAACAGGATCAATAACTTTTGATCCCAAAAGAAGAACAAAAGGACATCAAGGTCTTTGCATGCATGAATGCAGGACAGCAAGCCACATGCAAGCAGTGTTTGATTTTTCTACTGTTCCCCTGACTCCCAAAATTCTCTCAAAGACCTGGTGGAGCTCATGTTATGATGGGCAATTTGACAACAATCTGAAATATGTCCTATCCAAAATACAGTCTGACACAAGTGGTCTAGGCAGCAAATACAATGTTTGCCCATATGCTATGATTCTATGAACATGTGGGTAGTATCAAACGAGATTTTGAAATGCTTTGGAGTTTAACTTCATTACCTCACTCAGTGCCTCGTTAACTAGGTCTAATTTTATTCAGCCAACAGTCCTAATTGAGCAGAGCTCTCTTCCAAGGGACAGTGGGAACAGCATCACTGCCCCATCACATTTATTCAAGGCACAGCATTCCTGGAGTGCTTCTCATTCCACAGGCTTTGTTTCAGAAAGCCCAGGCAGTATGATTTTACCCAGCTCTGGTGAGTGTTTCATCATACTTCTCACAACAGGACTGTGGGAGATCCTTCCAAGTTTCAAAGCAAGATCACCGTGACTGCTCCCATCTCACAAAAAGGTGGGAAGAGAAAGACATCCCAGAGATTTTGGGGCAAATTACTCAGGCCTTTCAGTATTGGGACTGTTGATTGAAATGTCTCTAATTTTTATGAGCTCTAAGAGGTAATTTTTTCAAGCAGCTCCTTACTTTTTTACTCCTTTATTAAGACAATGTATTTCCTTTTAATTAAGAAGCCAGTGGTCTTCTGAGAGATAAACAAAAGGGAGGGAGACCCCCAGCCAAGTGAACAGGATCCACTCTCTGATATGCAGTTTGTGCATGGTTAATGGATGTTGGGCATTAATATTTCTTACCCTTTTGTCTGTGTTCTCTGTAATAGAAACCCCTGTCTAGACTGAGTGGCTACTACAAGTAATCCCAGTAATATCCAATAAAATCACTCTGAAATGTGATAGCTATAGTTATCAAGGAGCACCAGGATTAACTTGATTGATTGAACAATGGACTTCTGGTTTTTAACATGATCTATATGTGTCCCAAAAAAAATTCAAAAATATACATAAGGTTGTAAAACCTTCAATGCTGGGCAACTTATCATAGTCTGTAAGTGTACTGACACACCCTGAAAGAAGAGGGATTAGTGCTGCACCAAAATTAAGGGGAAAATGGCAATGGTCATAAAGAAATACTTTCACTTAACCAGCTTCTGCAAGGACAGGACACATCACCCTCTCACTGACTGACAGCAAACAAAAACATAAATACTCAATCTTTGCTTGAAAGTCCTCTGCTGAAAATGCTGCAAAAGTCTTCATTTGTGATCCAGGTCCAACCATGAGAACCACCTGCATTTCCTAGAGTGGCCTCTGAAGTGTCTCAATAAATACATCTTTCATTCAACAAGGAGAATTAGGCTCTTCCAAGAGGTGTGAGAGCACATGGAATACATTTGATGAATTTACATAAGCAGCAGAATATCTAAGCCCAGGTGTGGAGCATCATCCACTTGTATGAGCCCACAATGGCTTTCCTGCTGACCTAGGTCTGCAGCTGTGCATCCCATACCTTTGCTTTGAGCTTGGTTGGTTTATGGTGGGTATGTCTGATCTTTCTGGAGATTGAATCACATCAGTGGATAATTAATCAGTCAGAGGTACCTTGACCCAGAACTCCTGCACTCATTTCCAGCTCTGCTCAAAGTCCTCTTTTTGAATTTGTTCAAAACCTTGAGTTCTTTGCATGGGCTGTTACAAGTCTGGAAATGAAAAAAAGTTTCTGCCAAGTACAAAAGAGAGAACATTCAATAACTAAAAATGCATGCTTAAGTTAGAGATTAATTAGTCTCAAACTAGAAAAGTATCAACCTTTAGGAAAGTTGCTCAATAAATAGTTTAATCTAAGGAATCCCCACCCAAAGAATGTTCTTTTATTTCCAGAGGTCCTAATCAGTTCCCGGGAAATTGAAAGGAAACCATCTTGAGTTTGCAGCAGTACACAGCTGTAGAAAGGTAGCGCTCAATAAATAGTTTAATCTAAGGAATCCCCACCCAAAGAATGGTATTTTATTTCCAGAGGTCCTAATCAGTTCCCAGGAAATTGAAAGGAAACTATCCTGAGTTTGTAGTAGTATTGACACCAGGAATTTTGGTGAGGCACAATCTCTTAGGAATGGGTTCTGAATGACCTGGCAGCAGGAGGGAGGTTTTTGCTCCTCTGTGGTATACCAAAAAACAAGTCTGCAAAGGAACAGAAAGCTACTAACCTTAACAAATTCTTCTGATGTTCAGGTTATTTCTGCACCAGATGTGCAATGACACAAGACATCCAGGCACTGTCTCACACTGCAGCAAAAGGCAAGCTTCCTTCCCCTGTACCTCTGCCTTCCCTTTTATAATGCACCTGTGGATCACATTTCCCTTGCTTCCTGCATTAAAATAGCAGAACAAGGGGTTCAGGTTTGTTTGAAAAAACAATTAAAGGAGCTCTTCCTATACTGCCAGTTGTTAAGTAGCTCAGCCTTACTCACCTGGGACTGGTCTGCTGCAGCAGGGCTGCTTGTTCCCTTTGTTCCTGCAAGTAATCCAATTTGAGCAGGGAAGGAAAGGGACTTCCAACCAAAAGTCGTTCATTCACTAAGAATTTTTGTTTTTCTGGTGGAAACATTCTTACTGCTGCAAGCTGGGCTGTATACCCACTGCCCAACTTTGCTCAAATTCCAACCAAATCTAACATTTAAAATAAGCAAGAGGTGAGAACTTTCAATCACTTCCCATCCACAGGCACTATGGAGCTCTGACAGTTTCCTAGAGAAGGATATGGTCCATGTCTAGCAAAACATGGTTAAAGAGCTCCCTTTGCTGACCTGACATTGAACCTTTCCCTGAGCTGTTCCCAGTGCAGGAAAATATTTATTTTATTACAGCCCTGCAGAACTCATCCCAGTCCAGGCCCTCAGATTAAGACCAAATGTGCTGAGCTTGCATTAGGTGAAGTTATGGTATCTGTATTTGGGATTTTATCTTTTTTGTGGGTGCTGGTGGTGCTGAAAGGGCACAAAATAAAAGAATTGCAATAATGACAGTGCTCATGGCAGCATGTGGGTTCTGTTGGGGACTTCATAAAGGGGATAGCCCTATCCTGTGTCAAATGTTGTTTTCAAAGCCTTATGTAACACAAGTCTCCCTGAATCCTAAGCAATTCCTTTTACAAGGAAATTCACTGGCTCTCCTGGCTGGCTGAGCAACATCAACCCTTCGAGCTCAGCTGACATCAGCTCCCTGCACAGCACAGACACCTCCAGAGCCAGCTCAGCAGCACCAGCAGGGAGATGGAGCAGGGAACCTCTGCCCAGCCAAAAGGGAAAGGTGTCCAGGTGGGGGGAGGTCACAGGGCACACGTGTCTCTAGGCATAACCCAAATCTGATCCTGGGAATCCTGCAGCCTGAGAGAAGAGAGAATCTGACCTGCACTGAGACCCAGCTCAGGGGGGGACATGCAGGCACCAATGAACCACGCTCATTTATTTCTGATTTTCATTAACAGCTATTTCAAATAGCAGTGAGAGAACTGAAATCTCGTGGGGTTAGACATTGATGAAACCATTAAGGAGTTTTCTCACCAAAATTTCTGAGTAATCCATGTTCTCATAGTAACAGAAAAATCCCTGTTTAAAATATAGTTGCAAATATCCTGTTTCTTTTTATTGCTGAGTTGATATATCAGACCTGGGATATGAGATATATGATATTTCCATTACAACCATAATGTCTCCTTGGGACCTATATGGTGTCACTGTGTATTACCAGACTTCAAGAGTGATCCTGAATACAAGGATTTTATTTACTAAAATATCACATATACCAGTTCCTGATCCTTCCATTGTAATGTGAAGAAAATTAAAACTAATGAGAAATAAATGCTAATTCAAATATTTTAAAGACCAAGTATAAATTTTCACCTTTACAAAACATGGTAGGGAAAAGGAGAGGAGGGGAAAAGTGTGAAATCATAAGTTCTTTTATCTGATCACAAGAGAAATGCCAAATTAATAGCATGAGGGTTTATTGGTGTCTCTGGGCTTGTTTCTGAGACTGTGTGAAAGGAGCCTTTATAAAGGAGGCTTTATTCAAAGACCCCCCCAATTCTCACACAATTTTCCAAAAGTGTAACAATAGATCACTAGTACAGAAACAGAGATCTGCCACAGTATTATCTGTGCATCTATTTGAAAGCAGCTAGAGAGGCGAGGAAGGGTGGTGAGGTGCAGATGTTATCAATTAGCCAAAGAAGTTAACAAAACAACTTCAAACCCAGCAGTTGTTCCAGCTGAGAAGGCTGGGGTTTGAAGTGAGTATTGAGCTGTTGCTGTGTGCTCACTGCTTTTGTATGTGCTGATAGGAAACCAGCCAGACCACAGCTGTGAAATCCCAGCTTTGGGAACCAGATCCTCACTTTCAAATCCAAGGGGCAGCAGGCAAGGCTTGTATTGCAAAGGATGCACAGTCCTAAGGTGAAAATCACAGCTGAAACACAGCAGGCCTTGTTAAAATGGTTATTGATGAACAAAGTGAGAGAGAGACAAAAGTAAACCCATTTCTGTCATAGCAAAAGCATCAGTGACATGAAGGTTATGTAAATTGCTATTAAAAATAATTCCTTCAAATCATGACACATAGGCAAATGTGTGGATAAGGATGACCAAGTCCAGAAATAAAGGGAAAATGTGCTTGTTCTACACCCTGAAATGCCACTGGGTGAGGTGCAATTGCACAAAGTACCCAGATATTTGCAAACAGTGCTTCATCCCTGGGACGTGCTGAACCCTCGGCACCATCTACTGACCACCTGCTAGAACACCCAAACTCTGGCAGAAGGAAAATCAGGCATTTGTATTTCCTACTGACAAAAAATAACAGCTACCCAGAGCACAGGAGAGCCAAAGAACCTTCCTTCCCCGGGGCAGAACTCCCAGCCTGTGTCTGTCTGTGGTTATTTAGTGCAGCTTTGGCCATCCCAGCAGGCCCATCCCCTCCAGGCAGACGTGGTGCTGAAATCCAGCCTGGGGATGCTCCCAGGTGCACTGAAGTGACTGCACTGGCAGCAACCAAGGGCACTGCAGGTTCCAGAGCAGCCTGAGGACACTGCAGGATAGAAGGGCAGTGTCTGAAGCCTGTGGGAACAGGCAGTGGTGCTTTCTGTGGAGCCTCCATGGCCTGGGCAGAGGCTGCTCATCACCTCTGCAGGTTTCATCCAGACTGCGTTTCTGACCCACTTCTGCAAAAGTCAAAGCAGAGCTTAACAAACAAGTAAGCTCAAGATAAATACAGGTTGCCTGCAAACAATGTCTTGATTGTGACAAGCCTCCTGGGGTTGTCCTTGGCCCAAAATCTTGGGTGGGAGACAAACACGTGGTGGTGTTCAGCCAACAAGGCTCTGTGGTGACCAGACCCCAACGCAGAGCTAACCAGGGAGAGAGAACCAGGGTTGCATGGTTGGAAGCAACAGGAGGCCAGAGCAACCCAGGGCAGCTGAGTAATTGATCTTACAACAGTTAATTAAAAAATCAGTGTGATTCAGAAGAGTGCAGCCAGAGGTTTATAAGGCAGTGTGCTGTGGAGGGCGTGTGCTGGCATGGTTTAAAAGAAATAAAAAGAAATACAACATTCTCTAACCCTGAAGTGACAAGAGAGAAACAATAAAAAGCTGCTGTACCTGCAGTTTGTCAGTGAGCTCTACAAATGGGAGTGAAAGGCTTTGTTTCACTGCCTTGGAGCACAGAGCCATCCCTTTGTTTCCACGAGTCCTGCATGACATGGCACTAGCCCAGAGCTGCAGCCACCCCTGGGCTGTTGCTGGGGTTGCATCTGCCTTGTCAGAGTCAAACACTGCCTTCACTGAGTTAACTGGCAGCAGACAAGCAATTTGAATGAGGTCTGAGTCACACAGCCGTGGCATCTGGTGCACAAGTCCCTGCAGCCAAAAGGGCTGAGAGGCCTCCTGGGCCAGCCTTGTCTGCTGCTATCACAGGCACCATGTTGTATAATCCCCTTCATAAACAGCAGCAGCTGTGGGAGAAAGGCCTGGGATGGCTGAGGATGCTGAAAGTGAGGTGTTACAGGGTCCTGAGTCGGGGGGATTGGGGGTATGTGAGGAATGCAGCTATGTGCTGCTCAGAAGAGCAACATAATATTTTATTAATGAAGCTGGAAAGTCATACATCCAGGGAAACACCCAAGACCTTAATTATGCCAGAAAGGCATCAGGGTAATGCAGTACTTACTTTCTACTTCTGGCCTTGAGTTCAGAGAATTGTTTTCTTCTGTTTCAACATTTGTTGAGTACAACATGCCAGCAGGAGAGAAAAAAAAAACTGGTTTCCATTCCTGTGTCTGGTTTAAATCATGAGAGAAGGAGACTTCTAATGAGGCTGATTCATATAATGATGTATTTTACAAGCTATTCTTAGCAGATTCACTGCAATATGTCATTCTTTATGTACCATGAGAGATATATGAGCACACGAGCTTACGAAGGGTGGGGAAGTCTCTGAATAACTGGCCAGTTTTGCACCTCATGTGCTGGAGAAGGGAAAGTTCACACAGAATATTGCTTCCAAACCCTCCAGACCTCAGGTCAGCTGTGAACTCCACTCCAATAAACCCCGACATTACAAGACTCATGTCTTAAAACTCATTTCCAAGGAAGTGTCTCATTTTATTGCAACACGAATAGGAGACTCTAAGGTAATATTTACTTTGGTTTACATTTCATAAAAAAAAAGAAGACTGTAATTTCATGGAGGCTCTAACAGAAATTCCTCTTTCCATCCAAGCGGAAGAAATCATGTTCAGGACCTTTCCCCAAGGGCTCCAGGAAAGCACATTAACATGGCAACTCCCACTTTGCTTTATTTGTGAGTTACCCTTGCAGGAGGATGTGGCTGGAATTGAGACAAGCTATAAGTGGACTAATAGTCCAAAGCCTGTGACATTAAGGGGTAGGCAAAGATGCTGAGAGGATAATCCCAAAGATGCAGGTCTCCAGCTGATGAAAATCAGAAGAGCCAGTAATCACTGAGAGATTCTCACCTAGACAGAAGGCAATTGCAGGGGCTGTCAGCACAAGGGTGCAGTGCTTACTCCAGTTCTGCCTTCACCCCTGCCACCGCTGACCTTCCCAGCACTGTGTTTTCAGGTGCTAGAGGAGGGGCTGAGACCCTTTTGGTGAACTGAAGGATGAGCAGGAGGCCTGTCCTGACCAGCAGTGGGAAGAGAAAAGACACGTGCAGCGAGCCCCGAGCATGGGGGAAGCAGAGCTGCTGCAGACACAGGAGCCACTGGAGCACAGGTGAGCCCAGGAACTCCACACTGAGCCTGAAGGAGCTCTGGCCAG